AAAAACTTAAAATATTGCTTTTAAAAATAATTTTAAATTTAACATAATTTTTTAGAAAATTATTTTTAAAAAATATAATTTTTAAAAAATATAATTTTCTAATATTATTAGACAAATAAATAAATTATATTAAATTAGTTTAGAAACTTTATATATTTTAATTGCAAATATTTTACCAATTGCTTCTTTAAAAACATTAAGGAACTTGCTATACTCTACCAATCAAGCCCAGTGACACTTCATTTATTTTCTAATCACTCGAACACTGAAAAGTAAAAAGATATATGAAATCAGATCCATTAAATTCTAAGATTTGATTTACATTTCTAATTAAAATTGTTTTTGATCATACGTATAGATAATTATATAAAAATTCCAAAATTCTAAAATTTTAAATACATACAAAAACAATCATATGTAAATTTTAAATTTGTGAATATTAAAATTTTATATTTTAATTACATAGATTCACCCTGCGCAAGGCGCAGGTCTTATCCTAGTAAATAATTAAAATTAGAAAAAAGTAAGTGGTGACACATGATACAACTATAGGACAAATTTCATTAGTGTTCAATTATTTCATACACAAACCTTTTTGGGATAAGGTTTAACGCAGATACATCACCCCTGATACTGAGAGAATTTTGATTATAGAGTCATATAAGTGTAAATTTCGTTTAAGAAACTATGATTCTACAAGTGAAGAGTCCATTTAAGATTTCACTAGTGAAGACTCAAGAAAGAGTCCATTCTAATCCAGACAGGGATTGGGTTTAACATAATAACACTGAAGTTTTAGTCTAAACGATAAGAGGATTAAGGTTCTAACACTCACATGTCAAAGAGTATAAAAAGCTAGGAACAAAGGAAGGTTTAACACTATCAGCTAAGTTAAACAGCTATTTTATTACATTCCGTTTACCCTGACCAGATCATTGTTATCCAACCTAAGATTTGGCTGCCCATGATAAACTGCCATAGTGATGTCGTCAAATTTTGTTAAGAGTTTATTCCATTAGCATATTTGGTAGAATATTCTGTTTTGCCAGCCAATCAAAAGATACTACAGAATGAGAACCGCCGCTTTATTCTTACTACAGATTAAGAACTTGACACCAATAAAATTTAAGAAAATTTATTCACTACAAACAATTCGAAAACTAAATGACTATTTCTACAAAATCACAAATGGTTGTTAAACTGCAATTACATCAGAAAGATTAAAAACTGAAGTGATTATAGGCAAAACACATAACTCTACATCACCAATGAAAAAGAAGAGAAACACATAAACGTGATTTTTTATAAAACAATAGTGACACCTCTAGCACCATGTACATAAGAAGGATGAGCAGCTTCTTGATCTCTTTCAAACTGTTGCATCTGCGTTGCATGCCTCGTGGCATCGAACTTCTCTCCATCTCCCCAAAGAGCATAAGCTTCTTCTCCATGAGCAGCGTCGTCTCCAATCCCAAGCTCTTCCTCAGCCATTCTCAACGGTATGAACATCCTTATAGCAAGGAGTATGAGAGTCGTCGACACTAGGTTCCATGTAGCAATGAAGGCAGCTCCAGCCAACTGTTTCAGAAGCTGTTTGCCGCCATTGCCGCCGTAGAAAGCGCCGTTGGTGTTTGGGACAGGAAGTATCAAGACGCAGAGATCAGGATGTGCGAACAAGCCTGTCATTACTCCACCTAGTATTCCCGCTACTGCGTGGGTGTAGAATACTGCTAATGTATCATCTACCTGTTTATTTGACCAACCAAAATAAACAATTATTTATAAATATACTTTAAATTCATAGTAGTATATGATATGAACTATTATCTAGTTTATACTACACAAACTCAATCGTATATATAAAAAAAAGAGTTAAAAATAGAGGTGAAGATATTTTACCTGTTGGAGGAGAGTAGATTTCTTGTGAAGGATCATCATAGATGCCCATGGAATTGATCCTGAGAATATTCCAATTATTATGGCCGCCCATGTTTGGATCAACCCTGCAATATATTTTGTTTATTTAGTATAATATATTAACCATGCAATGTGTTTCTGTTTGATTGTAAGTTTGTAACACAAGAGTCACCAACCAAACAAACACACACACGTATCACTAGTATCTCTTATCCCTAAATTATTTGTTACTATGTGTAACCATTAAGGTCTAATGTTATTCCTCACATATTTTTATGCTAATGATCAATAACAAACGAGAGACTATCAAGTTGAGGTTAGAAGATTGGGACCTGCTCCGGGAGTGACACCGGCTAGACCAGTAACCATGCCTTGAATGGCTCCGATGACTGATGGTTTGCCAAAGAAAATAACATCGAGTGTGGTCCATACGAGGAGGCTTGTGGCAGCCGAGAGGTTGGTGTTGAGCACCGCGATTGAGGAGGTTAAGTTGGCGGCGTAAGGAGCTCCACCGTTAAAACCGGACCACCCCATCCATAGAAGCCCAGCTCCGGCAAGCATTAAAAGAACATTGTTCGGTGGAAATCTTTCTCTGTCAGCCTGAGGCCTGGGTCCAACCTACACATGTCACACATATTGAGTTTAATTCAATCTAAAATTATAATCAACTCAATATCAATAGTTTAAACGTGGTAGTCAGATAGTTATTGTATGGACGACTCAATTCTCACCTAGTGTTTTCTGACCGAATTTTATTTTCTTTTGCATAGTTATATATGTATATTATGTAGACTATTAATTACTTTTCTGTTTGTGGACCAATCAATCATTAAACTGACCCATAAATCTTAAAATTTGCATACGTAATCATCATCTCGTAAGAGAAAGCAAAACAAGACTTGGTATTTTCAGGACAAGTCCAAATCACAATATACCTATTAGAAAATTTCCAGAGTCTACGACCATGTCGTCTACAGTACATTTAAATAAAATCTGCTAGTTTCAACAAATATCAATATATAAATATCTTGTTCTTGAATGTTTACCCACTATTTATTATTTAAATCAATTAATAGAAAAACAAAAAATTATCCGAAGATTTTAATTCCAACATGATTCGAAACTAACCAAAAACCTACTATTGAATATTCAGTGATAAAAAAACAAAAAAAAAACGATTCTGAATTTATTTTGGTCACAAGTGGATAGAAACATTTAAGATAAATGTACGAGAAAATTAAATGAAAAATAGACATATTTAATGTAGTTCTTGAAACATACCCAGTAAGCGGCAACAAAACCGGCAACGCCAGAGGAGAGATGAATAACATATCCACCGGAGTAATCAATGACTCCCCAATGGTAAAGAAACCCTCCACCCCATAGACTATAAGCTCCCACCGTGTAGCTAAATATCAACCACAATGGCACAAAAGCCATCCACGCTTTAATATTCATCCTCCCCAACACTGATCCAGCCACAAGTATAGTCGTTATCGCCGCAAAAGTAAACTGAAAATAAACCAAAGTCGCCATCGGAAAATAAGGCATCGTCGCTTCTCTCTCCTTAGTCCCGTTCCCAAACATCCTAACAGTTTCTGGAATCTACAAAGAAACAAAAAAAAAACAAAAAGAGTTAACAAAAGAAATATCATTCATGCATTTTCTTACACAACACTTTGTGGACATAAACACCTTGGCTTGTCCTTTGAGGTATCCTTGGTTGAAGGCGGGACCACCTCTACCCCAGAAAGGCAGAAGCTCATCTCCGAAAGCCATTTTGTAACAGAGGAGGACCCAACAGAGGAGAACGGCTGCGAAGGCGTAAAGAGCCATGAAAGCGGAGTTCACTGCCCATTTCTTCTTGACTATAGAGGCGTAGAGGATGACGAGACCTGGCATGCTTTGTAGACCGACCAGAGTCGCTGACGTGAGCTGCCACGCGTTGTCTCCTTTGTTGAGCCAATCAGGAACCGCCGGTAAGTTGGCATCGTAAGCTCCGGCCATGTCTATCTCTCCCTCTTTCCCGGAGTCTTTCCGGATTGTGAGATGACTCTGGTTACTTGGGAGGTCTCAATTGTTTGGTAAAGCGCATGAGATGGTAGGTGTGAGAGCCTTTAGTTATATTAATAATGATGTGTAAACTAGACAAGTCACAGAGGTGGGGTTTCGTGTTTTGTTGTACAGTTTGAAGGAGAAAAGTCTTTGAAGATCGATGGATATGTTTCTCATTCCTCTATTTCGATTCTTGATATTTCAAAGAAGCTTCTTTCATTATCTACGCGTTACTGAATCTATAAAGTTACCAGGAAAAAACAAATAGATGTGGACCATGTGGTGTGGACTTGATATTTATCTAACTTAAACTATTTTAAAGATTTTGAACGAGTTAGCAGAGAGCATGTATATTACTTTTAGGTTGTTGCAATTTTATTTTATCTTCTCCTAGTTGGTTTAACCAACAAAAAATAATCATCTCCTACTTGGTCTCTACTATATATAAGAATGAAAAAAAAAAACTTTGAGACTATATTTTAAGTAGCAGCAAAATATTTTAAGATGAATTTGGTTATACGAAAAAGACATGGAGTGGTACACTTATGTAATTCGTAAAGTTATTTTGTCTTTTACATATATTTTGAAATTTGTTTTAAACATTATAAAAATCACACTAGAGGTACATTAACGGAAATAAGGTTGCAAGATATGTTTTTCCAAAAAAAAAAAAAAATGATTACACGTTATGTTTCCACTTGATGCATTTTCTCTTTAAATAGCTGTTGCGAAATTTCTCTGGTTTTCAGAAATTGATTTTGTTTATGTTCGTCAGTTTTGATCGTGCGGCCATGTTTAATACGGAACAAGTTGACCGAGTGATACATCGACTGTTTAAGAAGCAAAGATTCATTTGTGTGTTTGTAAAATAAAACTTGATACTGGCATGAACGTTGTATAACTTGTATTTGGTACGTCGACGGTATATAGATTCAACTAAACAACAGAATCAGTGTTAAACTATATATTAACGAGACGTCCATTTCATACGGATACACTACCGTATTTTTATAGAATAAAACGTCTTCAATAATCTATTGGAGACGGACCAGTGTTTTTAGAGCATCTCTATTATTAATATTCGCCGTGATTTATTCATAATTAATCTATGTATAATAGAAAATGAAAATGGACTTTGAAAGTTCTCAAACAAAGAAAAATAAAAGTTGAAAATTTCACAAAAAACCCCCATGATATTACATATCTATGATTAATTAGTTCACTTTTCAAAAATGAATTAATTATATAATCACTTTTATTCAAATATCAATTTTCTGTTTGAAAAAAAAACTATTTAGAGTTTCATGGACAATGCTCTTTAACAGATTGCTTAAATTAAAACTATTACTGAGTATGTGAACCAATCTTAATCATTAATGGAAATCCCAATTTTAAAAAATAAACCTGGTAATAGGTTAATTTTGTTTACAATTCATATTTACATTTGATTACACATTAGTTTATAGTTTAATCTATATACAATAACTAAAAAAAGATTTATGAGTTTCGACCTTTTATTGTATCTTTGACTTTAGTTCTAGGTTTAAACGTAAAGCAAGGGAAAAAATATAGCAAGAAAAAAACCAACGTAAAACAAGTATATGATGTTTGTGACCAGACGAACATTATCCCAACTCTCTGGTTGCAGATATATTGTGCATCCAAACCCATATGCACTAGACAGCTTATAGAAAGCCCAGTGAGCCCAACAAACAGCATACTTGCTGTATTTTGTCATCTCCTTGTGTGTTGTTCTACAGAAATGTTTCAATTGGAAAATGATCAAAAAGAGAATGCATCATATGAATTATGAAGTATAAACGTTAAAGGTAAGAGATACACCGAATGGAAAACCCGTCACCGTAAAGTTTAGTTGTAAACTACAACACCAAAAAATATTGATTTAAGAAAGGGTGAAAAATAAATATTTTTTTTTCTTTTTCAAATTAGGAGTTGACCTATTGAATAAAACGGTGACAACCCGTCCTGCGTACCTAGATTCACAGCATTGCAGCGCATCAACCCTACATATTAATTGGTGATAGTTTATTTTGTAGAGAACTGATAAATGGTGAAGTTTTGGGTTTGAGCAACGCCAAGCGTATCAATAACCTACCAGTGAATATGGAGACAGTTTTTCCAACGATGAAAGATTAGAATCGTGTGCTGTAACACTGTGAATTTCTACGAGATGGATTATCACAAAAACTCTTAGATCATCTGGTAAAGGTATAAAAATCGTAGATTCAATTTCTGTTGAAAGAGATTTACTTTTCTAAAATAGTTAATTTAACATGGTTTAGGACTCGTCGTATGGAGATATAGGGACATTTAGATCCATAATTTTTAATCATTCAGAAAAACTTATACTTTGGTTAAACAATTATAGGAGAAATGGTTACGAAGTAAAATTGGGAAACTAAACATGTATAATAGTCAAGTAAAGTCACCCTGTTCTAAGTTCTATGAATATAATTAGTTTTTTTTTTCGTTAAAGGTATATATAATTAGATAGCATGGGAAGGGGCAAAGGATCGAATCACCATGCAGCTAGTAACATTTTTAAATATATATGTGATGATACAAATTGGCGGTATCAAACAAACTCAAAACGTTTATATATTCAGACCTTTTTGTTTCCTTTCTAATAATATTATATAAAGTACACAAATAATTAACAACAAAGGCGCTGATATTAAGATATTATTGAATAAGTACCACAGGATCTCACTTAGAATTTGTCCCATTCTTACCTATAATTCATAGAGTCAGATCCAGAGTACTTGCCTGTCCAATCTTAACCGTCCGATCCTCTTCATCCGTCTTGATCACTCGGCTCTTTTTCCATGAACATAACGACAAGGACAACGTTTGATCCGTTGTTGTTGCTGCTGTTTCTGTCTCTTCCAAAGTTGTGTTCTCGGGTACTCTTAGCTTTAGAGAGAGATCAAGATCGAGGCTGGTACTTGCGTTTCTTTTGCCCGTTGTCTTGTTACAATAAGCATTATGATTGGTGCTCTCTTCAATACCGATCTTGAACTTTTCAAACGTTCTTGACTGTCCTTGAATACTGTTGAATGTGGCTATGTTGGTCCGTTCTTGATGGTTGTATCTTAGTTTTGGTAAGTGATTAGAAACTGAAGAAGAGTAGTTGTTTTGGAAAGACCTGTTGTTTGTCCAATATTCACTACCATGGACGTTATTGCTAACCGACGAGCTGTGAAGTAAACCGGGCCTATCTATCAAACTCCGGTTTGTCTCGTGGGAGCTAGAGTTCCACAATGAAGCATTTGAAAATTTACTTCCATATCTACATAAAATTTTAAATAATATGAAAGACTGAGAACTGATTGTCAAGTAAAGATTGAATGGAATACAATAAAATGATGGAATAAATAATACAAACCTGAATGGAGAATCATGGTTATGATTAATATTATAGCCGCGGAACATCGGTAGCTGACTTAGTTTATAAATATTCCGATCTGCGGAAGTCTCGATGAAATGTCTGTGATCAGATATGGCTGCAAATAATTAATATGAACACTTTGGTTAATATAGTAGTCATACGATATGAGCTAACAAATCAAAACCCTATTTTTTCACGTATACTTATTATAACTAACTAAAAAAAATAAATAATCAATACCTTGACCTTGATCATCCATCTTCTTGCTTCTGTACATCTAAAATTCCCCAATACTCAATTTAGTGAGAAACTTTTATATAATTTCACAGATTCTTTGAAAAAAAAAAAAAACCCACAATACAACACATATAATAACTATGTATAAGTGTATCTGTATGTACCTGTAGATGGCTCTTGACATGAGCAATACTGAGCCCTTTGATATTCATCATCTGCCGGACCAATTTTGGAGTTGCTCCTATACACATATATACCCCAAAAACTTTTATAATCATAAATAAAGTAAAAGGTTACAAAAATCTTTGACAAGAATTTAAACTAAGAATAATCAAGGATATTTCGTAAGCTTTATATTTGGAAGAGTTTGATAAAGAAAGAAGCTAAGGACGTACTTTCTTGACCTCCAAGTCTCTCGACGGCACGGACAAAGCGGAGATGAAGATCAGGAGTCCACCGAAGTCGTGGGACTTTAGATCTTACATAAGGCCTCACCTTCGTCTTCTTATCAACCGCAGCTTCTACTGTAGTATTGCTTGAAGCCTTACTCTCTTCTCCTTCACCGTCTTCTTCTTCCTCCTCCTCTTCCTCCCTGTCAGCCTCCTCGCTTCCCTCCATACTTGGGATCATTTTCACTTTTTTTTAGTGATTCACAGAAAAAAGTAGAAGAAATTTAAAAAGGGCCAGAGATAGGGAAGCCTCTGGACTTTAGATATAGGTTTTGGAAGGAGTGGATGATAGATAAGTACTTTGGTTTGAGATAAAAGACAAGATCAGTTGTGCTTCGTTCAAAGCATGAAGATTTGGTCTGTCTTGATGAGAAACCCTAGATCAATATACACTTCAGATTCCCTCTTCTCTCTCTCTCTCTCTCCTCCCGGGGCATGTAGACAAACACTCACCTAAATCTTGTTGCAGATGTTAAAAAGTTTTTATTTTCTGTCCCCAGCTAATTGATTTGGCATTTTTCTTCTATAGACAGCTCTTCATATATGTGTTATATATAAGGGAGAAAACTATAGTTATTATTTAAAATCAGATACTTGATATATTGACCTATAATATACCAAAGAATTACAAGTAATGCTTATCCCCTATATATTAAAAGACTAGCATTACAACATGGTTAGTTATGACATATCTTATCACTAGGTAGTTTCTCAAAGTTTTTAGATATAAATATTGGTTCATATAGACATAATATATTTTTAATTTTACTAACCATAAAATATTTTTTAATGTCATTCATTTCTTTCTCTAAATAAAAACTAAAGAATTATCTTATGTGGTTGAAATATATATATATATATGATAATTAATGATTGGATAAGAAAGATTAGATAGAAATTTGTGTAGTCTTTATTCTTTTTTGTTAATTTTATATTGTAAAAATAGTTATGACATATGTTATCACTAGATATAAATGTTGGTTCATATAGACATATAATGTATTTTTAATTTTACTAACCATAAAATATTTTTTAAT